TAAAATTAAATATTTATTTTACCCACCCTTATAACAAAAAAACCCTTAATCTAACAAATTAACCTAATAAAGATTTAAATGGGCGTTACTTTTATAATTTTTGTCGGTACTTTTGGATTCAGCGTACAATTTAACATAAGAATTGGCTAATAAATGTTCAGGATATATCCTGAACATTTATTAGCCAATTCTTATGTAAAATAGTTCACAGCAAATTGTATACAATTTGCTGTGAACTACAGTTATTAGTGCTTTGACTAATTCATTTTAGAGAGTATATTTGCACACATAATAACACAGTTTACAAATTTCGGCCAACTTTTGGACCCGAGCAGATTACAACGATTTTTCACGTTATTTGATGAATTCGAATCTTAAATTCGTTTGGCAACATTGGTTCTAGTTTTTCAGTTCTCGCAGGTGAAGGGCAGGATTTTCAGTACTTAATCAAGTTGTTTCCGAATTTGTCGTACGAAAAAATCAAAGAAGGAATATTTGTCGGACCTAATATTCGAAAATTAATGACAGACGGAAACTATACAAAATGTTTAACGCCCGATAAAGCGGCAGCATGGACCTCTTTTCGAAGTGTTGTTCACAACTTTCTTGGTAACCGCAAATCCAAGGATTGCAATCAAATCATCGGCAATTTGTTGCAAAATTACCGCAAGATTGGATCTCGGATGTCTCTCAAGATGCATTTCCTCTATTCCCACCTCGATTTTTCCCCGAAAACTTGGGCGATACAAGCGACGAACAGGGAGAGCGGCTACACCAAGATCTCGCAAACATTGAAAGGAGATACCAAGAATTTTGGGATAGACGCATTATGAGCGAGTACTGTTGGACTCTAATGCGTGAAACGGATCCAAAATAATATAAAAGACTTAGTTCCACGTTCCAAGCCATACTTTTTAAATATTAATGTTCTGACTCTAGCTAGTCTTTACATCTATGAGGCAGTAATGTTGATTTAAAAAAATGAAGACCTTTTTGACTGACAAAACCATAAATACACAAGCAAAATTTATCAACAGACTTATTACGTTTTTCATATCTACTAAAAATGCTTGTTATAAAATAGTAAAAATATATAATAATTTACCTGCTATCATAAGAAAACTTTATTACAAAAAACTTAAAAAGCATCTCCGATGTGTATTAACCCAACGATGTTACTATTTCAGTGAAATTTTTTTTTAACACCCATATTGGAGATAGGTATATTTTGAATCTACATAACATCTGTTTTAAAATAATAAAAGTTAAAAAATGTTTCAGCGTTAATTTTTTTTTAATTTATAAAAATGTTTTATGGCTACGAAAGTTATATTTTTGACCACAATTAAATGGCGCTTACCTGGTTCATCAGCTATTAAAAATATTTTTTTCAAATTATATACACATATTAAGTAACTATATCTCAAGAAAACTTTTTAATTTTTATGTCAAATTCTTACATGGCCTGAGTAAGGTAAAGAAAAAGTGTTTTTTATTCAAATACTCACACTTAGCTTTTTTTGTAATTTACAGAAGATCTATATATATATTTTTTAATGGGTTTGTGTAAAAGTTATTAAGGAAGTTAAATTGCCTGCTTTTATTTTTTATCTTATATAAATTTGTTCTCTTTATTAAAATTTTTGTATTGTAAAATTTAATATTATTTAAAATTAAAATCATTATAAACTATGTTAAAAATATATTTTAATTACAAATTTATTAAACAATAAAATTAAATATTTATTTTACCCACCCTTATAACAAAAAAACCCTTCATCTAACAAATTAACCTAATAAAGATTTAAATGGGCGTTACTTTTATAATTTTTGACGGTACTTTTGGATTCAGCGGACAATTTTACATAAGAATTGGCTAATAAATGTTCAGGATATATCCTGAACATTTATTAGCCAATTCTTATGTAAAATAGTTCACAGCAAATTGTATACAATTTGCTGTGAACACAAGTTTACAAATTTCGGCCAACTTTTAGACCCGAGCAGATTACAACGATTTTTCACGTTATTTGATGAATTCGAATCTTAAATTCGTTTGGCAACATTGGTTCTAGTTTTTCAGTTCTCGCAGGTGAAGGGCAGGATTTTCAGTACTTAATCAAGTTGTTTCCGAATTTGTCGTACGCAAAAATCAAAGAAGGAATATTTGTCGGACCTAATATTCGAAAATTAATGACAGACGGAAACTATACAAAATGTTTAACGCCCGATGAAGCGGCAGCATGGACCTCTTTTCGAAGTGTTGTTCACAACTTTCTTGGTAACCGCAAATCCACGGATTTCAAGCAAATCATCGGCAATTTGTTGCAAAATTACCACAAGATTGGATTTTGGATGTCTCTCAAGATGCATTTCCTCTATTCCCACCTCGATTTTTCCCTGAAAACTTGGGCGATACGAGGGACGAACAGGGAGAGCGGCTACACCAAGATCTCGCAAACATTGAAAGGAGATACCAAGAATTTTGGGATTAGACGCATTATGAGCGAGTACTGTTGGACTCTAATGCGTGAAACGGATCCAAAACAATATAAAAGACTTAGTTCCACCGCTCTTCATTTCTAATTTATGACTTTTTATTGCCATTTAATAAATATAATTGCAAAAGATCGTACAAATTTAATTTATTAACTATATCGAAGACTAGAACCAATCTTAAAAAACGGAGTAAAGATTTGGATTAAGCGCCCCAAGTTACCTTAAAAACAACTTTTGGATGCTCAGGTCCAAAAGCGTGTATACTTGTGTAATTAATTGAACGTACTTATATTTTAAAAACATGTATATTCTCAACCTTTTATATAAAAGCTCTTATTATTTAAAGTAAAATTTAAATGGTATTTAATAATAGCATGCTAGCATCCTAGTTGTGTATATTACAAAAACGAGCTATAAGGGCTATATGTAGCTTAAGACAAATCGAAAGCTGTAGAGAATATTTTAAAAAATAACAAATACTTACACTATCTTCACTGTATATTTTTGAATCTATAAAATATGTTATTAATAATATTCAAAGATTTACACAATAACCAACATAACCTAAATACAAGAAACAGAAATAAACTAAATATACAAAATGCATTAAAAAAAAAGAACACAGCAGGGCGTTGACTAGTGGGGGATCAAAACCTTCAACCATCTACCTAAGTCTTGGAATCTCTTACAAGAAAAACGAATTCTTACTCTATTAAAATTACACCAATTCAAGAATTTTTAGACCTTAAATTTTAATCAATTGTATATTATTTATTCTTTTATTTTATATTTTATTGTATTGTTTGTATGTCAATTTTATATTTACCTCTCTATTAGTATTTGTGACACTTCATGTAAATCTTTTGATGAAATAAAGTATCTATCTATCTATTATATTAGCACCTAATTAAATCAAATCGAAACTGATTAAAAAACAAAATTTGGTTTTTGTTTATTGAATTTTTCATTAAAACACGCTTTTAATACAGTTCATATTGTTTTTATGTAAATAATATTTTATTTTGCGGAACTAAAAGTCCTAGTAAAAGAATCTCGAATTTTTTATAAAAAAATCAAAGCAGGCAATTTTACTCCCTTAATAAGTTAAAAGTTGTGGTTTTTCACAAATCTTTTTTCTGGTTAAATCTTACCAAGATTTTTAGCATTTAAAAAAACCTGATTTAAAAAAAATTAGAATATAGAAAAGTTTTGCTCAATTCTATGAATATTTCAGATCATTAAACAGATTTTGATTTTTTTGTTCAGTTTTTGAGATAATAAATAAAAACCAAAAAGGTGCGTTATCTATTTTTAGCAATAATTTGTTTATTATTTATTCTACACTTTCAAAACTTCCACATTATCAAAGCTATTTTAGAATGCGCTTCTAGTGGGTTTGAAGGATTTTTTTTTATTTTTTTTTTATTGCCAAGATACGACTCTAAACTTTGTTTTTTCTTATGGACGCAAATTTTCTGTTTGGCATTGTTGAGTAGCATTTTTTATTATCTTTTTAAATTTTGATTTTTTCTCTCTATTTGAGAGGCAATATTAGCGCGTTCCTGTTTGCTCTAATGTAAGTTACGATCATATCAAATTTTTCAGCATTAAAGTAATTTCCAGCCATTTTTCAGCCTACAAGTGAATAAAAGGAACTCAATTGAAACGAACCACATAAATCTCTGAAATTATCGACAATGTATGAAAACAATAAAAAAAATTAAGCAAGAACAATATTGTTTTTGTTTTGTTTTTTAAGCAAAAAAATATTGTTTTGCTTAATTTTTTTATCGTTGTCACACATTGCAGATAATTTCAGAGATTTCTGCGGTTCCTTTCAATTGAGTTACTTTTATTCACTTGTGTGCTGCTAAAATGGCTCGAAATTAATCTAATGCTGACAAATTTGATATGATCGTTACTTACATTAGAGCAAACAGGAACGCCAATATTGCATCTCAAAATTATTTAAATGAGTTTCCTGAACGCCAACAACCTCATCAAACTTTGCTAAACTGGTGATCAGTTTGTTGATTTGTGGAAGTTTTCAACAGAAAATGGACCATCATTATGATATGGATAATGAGGAACGCGACAACACTATTTTGGAAAATTTTAATGGTGAACCAAATTGTTCAGTAAGAGATGTTGAACGGGCAACTGGCATACCGAAATCTACAGTTCATCGAGTCTTAAAAAAACGGCATTATCATCCCTATAAACCCACAATTGGACCCCGTTATGCAACAAAGAACCAAACAACATATTTGCAGAAAATAAGGAAACAAGTTTCAGACTTTTGATTAAACAAAAACATTTAAAAAGTTATTCCAAGTATGGAAAAAATACCTGGTTTCCTATTGCTTAATTGAAAATTTAACAAACATCACTTGCGTCCGCAACCAAGTTACAATACAAATAAAAAAAACTTATGTCAAAAAATAAAATTTTTACTCTAAGAAAAACACTTGGTTCTATATTGCGGAACAGGAAAAAATATATTATTGGTCAAGGTCAAAGTCTAACTCGCCATTATAACCGTATATGTCTTCCTCTATTGAAGGGTCTCCTATTAGACTAGTATAAAAATTATGATCAGCCTCAGGAATAAGATGCAAATAACTGCGTATGTCATTTAGTTTTGGCTGAGCCACTGGTTTCCCGTTTGGCCATAGCGATTCCAGTAACTTATAAAACTGTACGTCTGTATTCTTTGATTTTTTTCCCTTCCTTATATTTATTTTTTTATATTCAGATACTGTTTTTTTATCTAATAAGTTTTATTTGTATTCACGTTCTCTACTATTTGCGAATAATTCAAGGGACCATCAGTAAGTTTCTGAAAATAAATTTGCAATAAGGAACCAACTTGTATTCTCAAAAAGTTATTATTTCTAAAAAAATTACATAATATTTAAAATGTTTACCTGACTACTAATATCGTCTAATAACTCGTCAAAGCTAGAATTTTTATTAAAGTTTTCCACTACTGGCGGATTTAAGGAACCATCAGTAGTGGAAACAATTTGTATTATCTTCAAATATTTATTACAATACAAACCGTAAAACAAATCCTTTTTTCAAAAATAGAGTTTGAGGTAAAAACGTACCTGACTTTTATGGGTATTACATACGTCTTCTAATGATGTCTGCGCTACTAACTTTGTATTTTCTAATATCAGTAGTACACGTTGAGACACTATTTGTTTAAACATTTAAAAAAATAATAATATACCAGCTGACCAGCACTACTGCCCAGATAGCACAAAGAAGTACTGGAAACGTCCTGAGTATATCTTGTATCAGACATTAGAAAGTCCCGAGTACGTCCGAGTCAGGTCTTGAACCTTCCCCAGGACGTAGCAGGGACATCCGATGTTACCAAATCGTCGGTCCCCAGAACGTCCTAAGTAAGACATCCTCTGGCCGTCCTGAAATGCTTTATTGTGACAAAAATAAAATTGTGTGTTATCAATGAAAAATAAATATTTTGCACATATAAATTTTGGAATATTTTTTTCGTCATTCTGCAGGACACGAACTATTTTTAAATGATAATATATTATTTAACCAACTTGGCACTTGGACCCTTTGGAAACACCATGCTTCAATTACAAAAAAACAAAACTTTGTGGTTTTGGCTTTTCTATTTATATGAAAAAATAAGTTGGATTGTTAGTTTTTTTAAATAAAAATTATCATTTAATATTTATTATTTTATTGTGGATTTCAACATAACATTTCATAGAAAATAAAGATATATTTATTATCACACAATCAACATTTTATTTATCTTGGAATAGTTGTAAATCAATTCAATCACTGCAGGTTTTCTTTTTTTCATTCCATTTCATCCGCTCCCCGCTCCTCTTCATATAGCTTTGGATGGCCATTTCAATTTATCTTTTGTCACAGTTAAGACACTTCTCTGCGGCTTCTGAAAAAGTTACCGTTAAGTTTTTGTAGTTGTATATAGTAGAATTAAACGAATTAAGGGTGGAAAACAGAATATGCTATTTAACAACAATATTTCTATATAAATTGTTAAAAAATAAAAATCCTCTGTACTTATACCGTCTGTTAACACGCCGATCTGACATACATGAGATAAATACTAGAACTAACTCTTTTAATATTCCAAGTCACAACTGTATTAAATTCGAGGGGTCATTTGTGTTTGTCGCGTCAAAACTATTGAACAGGGTTCTTTTGAACATTGAATTGGGTGAAAAGAGCTTTTTAATTTTTACTAAAACTTTTTATTTAAATCCACAATAGGTCCTTGTTTATTTTAAATGCTAATAGTTTAATAATTTTCCTTTTGTTGGTACAATTTATTCTCGTATATCTTTAATTTCTTTATATTTAGTATTGTATAGGTACTTTCTCTTTATATTTAATTTTCTAAAAAACTCAATTTTGTTCAACTTACGGTGTACATGTTTATTCTATAGCTATAAAAAATACTATTAAAAGTTTTGTAATTGATAACTATTATAATTTCGGAGACGGTGGAAGAAAGGAAATCCTAACCGTCCTCCATTTGTATGTAACATTTATTTATATACAATAAAGAATATTATTATTATTATTATTATTATATTTTCGCTCTGTTTTTTAATTAAAGACCTAAAGTAGACTTTGAAAAGACGTTCTAATTTAACAGCAGATTTATTTACCTATCAAGTGTGAGGTGCTTGGAGAATCTAATTTAAGTGGGGCCTTACATGAGGCATTTTTGGTGGTGGTGGCAATTTGAAACTCTCCCCATCAGATGCATCTGAAGATGAACTGAGCACTTTCCTAATCCTTTTTCTCTTACCAGAACATGCACTTTCCGAGTTCAGATCACTGCAATCCTAACCGTCCTCCATTTGTATGTAACATTTATTTATATACAATAAAGAATATTATTATTATTATTATTATTATATTTTCGCTCTGTTTTTTAATTAAAGACCTAAAGTAGACTTTGAAAAGACGTTCTAATTTAACAGCAGATTTATTTACCTATCAAGTGTGAGGTGCTTGGAGAATCTAATTTAAGTGGGGCCTTACATGAGGCATTTTTGGTGGTGGTGGCAATTTGAAACTCTCCCCATCAGATGCATCTGAAGATGAACTGAGCACTTTCCTAATCCTTTTTCTCTTACCAGAACATGCACTTTCCGAGTTCAGATCACTGCAATCTTCTGCTACCCTGGCTTTTTGTCTTGCTTTTCCATAGTCATCTTTTAAAAAATATATAATAAGACAACTTTTATAAATAAAATAATAATACATATAAATATATAGGGTGTCCGGAAATTAATGCAACAAAATTTGGTCACAGATTCTTGAGAGAAATTTAGGGGACACGTATTTTTTAGTTTTGCCAATGGGCCCCATTTTTCGGAGATACAGCCCCCTAAAAGTATAAGTCCATAAGAATAGTCTTTTTCTTATATCTCAGAACCCTGTTGTACGAGAATCACTAAATTTGGTATACAGGGGTTTTTTGATATGTGGAATCTGATAGTGTTAAGGTTTTTGGCTGGGGACCCCCTTAAGACGCTTTTTAGTAGGCCCCCTTGTCTTTGGAGCCACAAAACTTTGGTTGCGTATTTTTTATTTTTTTTTAATATGAACCCGTAAGGAAGGACATTCAATTTAGAAACTTTGTCTTTTGAATTTTTTTTTGGTAAAACTTAATGTTTTTGAGAAAAATGGCAAAATGTGATTGAATGCATATCGACACTCGTATGAAATTCTTACGTGTTAATCGTAGGTGGCTGCCGTTCGCAAGTGACAAATAAATTAATTTTTTGACAGTTATCATTGATCAGTTGTCAGATTATCATCTTTTCTGTTTCTCTCGAAAAAAAATGGTGAGATTTTCCGTGCGTGAAAAAGTCCAAATGCACCTGATTTACGGAGAGGCCCATGGGAATTCACGTCTCGCGCGTAGACTATACGCTGGCCGATTTCCCCAACTAATACTTCCATATCATTCGATGTTTTCGCGTGTGCACCGGCAACTTATGGAGACCGGTTCTGTAATTGTAAGAAGGCCAAATGCAGGAAGACGTCGTTTGTTAACACCCCAACAAGAAGAAAATATCTTGAATTTATTTGAAGAAACCCCCGAAATAAGCCTAAGACGCGCATCACTACAACTTGAAATTCACAGAACAAGAATTCACAGTTTTATTAAACGACAATTACTAAAGCCTTTTTATTTTCAAAAAGTTCAGGAACTTAAACCAGAAGATTTGCCGCGAAGAAGAAATTTTGGCTTATGGGGTCTTCAACGTTATAACCGAAATCCGGAATTTCTGAAACGATTTTTTTTACCGATTAGGCGTGCTTTACAAAAGATGGAATAATAAATCTACATAACCTTCATTACTGGGCCATGGCAAATCCACACGTTATAAGTAAGGCCCGGATTTTTAGGTCATAAAAAAGTGATAAAAGGTTCCTAAATTAGGTGATATTTTCAATAAAATAGGTTATTATTTTAGGTACCTATATTTTAGGTACTTAATTAAAAAGTTAATATTGGTTGACCCGTATTTTTAGGTAATAAAAAAGTAAAAAAAATGCAAAAAATAGGTCACATAGTTATAAAATTAGGTTATTATTTTAGGTGCCTACATTTTAGGTACAAAAAAAAATAAGCTGATTTATTGAAATAAAATGTTTTCATTATAATGTCGATATCGTTGTAAAACCATACATAGGTCTTATGTAGTTTTAGTTACATTATAATTGCTCTGTTAATGTCCGGCAATAAAGGATTTAAATTAAAAATGGAATAGTTATTAAAATAATATTTATTATTAACAATAACTGAACAAAAATGTTTGGTTGGAAAAATAACAAATAAAATAAAAGATTCTTTAAAAAAGTAAATATATCATATCACAAATAATGTAAAATTGCAAAAAAAACATAATAGGAACTCTAAAATTACAAAAAAAAAACAAAATAGGAACTCTAAAATCAAAAAAAATTTTTTATTAATTTATTTAACGATTATATGCATGACAGACAAAATATTTCTCCAAGTTTTCAGAAGTAAAGCTAGTGCGTTTATCAGTCAAAACATTTTTAAACCAAGAGAATGATCGTTCAACGTCACAGGACGGGTAAAAAAGGTTCATTTTAGGTATTAAAAATACAATTTAGGTGCAAAAAAGGAAAATAGGTGAAAAAAATATAAAAAAGGTATTTTAGGTCAAATAAAACTTAGTCAGATGACTCCATTTTTTATAAAACGGGCAAATACAAAAAAATATCTTTAAAACCTAAAAAACCAACAAAAGGTGTTTTACCTAAAATCCGGGCCTTAGTTATAAGACAGACTTTATCGCAAGATAAATTTTCAATTAATTGCTGGGCTGGAATTGTCGGAGATTTCATAATCGGTCCACATTTCTTGCCCCCTCAATTAAATGCTGAAACCTACCTTCATCTTTTGGAACATGAACTACCAATTCTTATGGAAGATGTTTTTCTCGATATTAGAGAAAATTTATGGTTTATGCACGATGGTGCCCCACCACACCGGGGGCGGTTCGTAACTGAGTGACTAAATGAAAATTTTCCAGGACGTTGGATCGGTAACAATTCCCCCAATGTAGCTTGGCCACCCCGTTCTCCAGATTTAAACGCTATGGACTTTTGTTTCTGGGGAGCCATGAAGGATCGCGTCTATGCTGTGCCAATTAGAACTCGCGAACAATTACAAGAACGAATCCTTGCCGCGGCTAAAGAAATTAGACAGATACCCAACATTTATGAGAAAATACGTCAAAATTTTTCAAAACGTTTGCGGTCCTGTGCTGAACAAAACGGCTCACACTTTGAGCACGTTTTACGGAATTGATTACTTTTAATTAAATTTAATTTTAATAACTGTTAAAAACTTTACAAAACAATTTGAAAATTTAATAAAATGGTTTTTATGTTTATTATTATTAACGTTTTTCTGCATTGGGCCTTCTTACAGAACCCGTCTCCACAAGTCGCCGGTGCACGATCTACGCGGCAAAAAGTCCCAATATCAAAATTACAATAACATTCGTATAAACGAGTTCCATGAAGAGAGTACGAACCCGGGAACTATTCGGTTACTCAATCTACCTGCTACCGCGCACCCGGCACACGTAGCGCCAGTCTAAATTTGATAGTTTTACATAGTGTACGTATCTGTTCTTGGCGCTTTTCTAAA